TCACGTGTCGTCCATCATGAGCATGAATTGGCCAGATCAAAATTTTCATTTTAAGCCAGGTATGAATGGCCGGTGATCTGACTCAAGCGGCCGGCGGTAGCTGCCTGACTTAGTGAAGCCGGATATGAGGCGGGTGATAGGTTAGTTAGAGAAGGTTGGAGGTTTACGTCTTCACGTGAAGGTTAAACTGGTTTGACCCCGGCCGGTTGGGGGGGGGGGGGGGGGGGGTTAAGCACTGCCTGTACAACCATCATTTTCTTCTTCGTTCTTAATTTTTAGTGTTAGAATGGATCCCCCTCCAACACATTTAAGGAAACATGTCAACTGCTTTTCTTTTTGGATTTGCTTCCATAGCCTTTGTACAACCAAGAACAAACTACAAGGCAGCAGTTGTTTGATTTTGGAGTAGTCTCTCCTAGAAGAGTGGTTGTTCCTAGCTAAAGAGCCTCATCTGTCCGAGGGTTCAAACTCGAGACTTTTCGGTTTAGCAACCATGAGTTTTACCATCTCGACCACTTAACCCTACTATCATCTGACCTAAGATTGTATTTAAATGGCCTATTTTTAGTCTTATCGACAAAAAGTTTTAAGTTTCCACCTTCCATTGTGTATGTATTTGTTTCAACCTGTAGTAGAGATGTTTTAGTCTCAAGTGTACACAAAGGTAATTTCAACAAAAACGATTACTTTTTCATTTAAAAATAATAATTGTGCTAGGTTAAGGACCTTTGCAAAATTATCTTATTCATTTGTTAGTGTACTTTATTATATTATTTAAAGTATTTAATTTTAAAGTCTGGGAACATAAAACATTCCTACGTATAATTCTAATATTAACAATTTAAAAAGCGGTTTAGGTAATTAAGTGTGGAGCTAATGATTCTCAGGAAACTAATTAAATAGAAACACTTCTTCCTGTTGTAATGTATTTATCTAATAACTGTCGTGGTTAGTGTTGTGTAAATGAAGTCAAGTTTTTTTTTCAAAAGCATGGGTAAGATGCAGTGGCGTAGCGAGGTCGGGTGTCACCCGGTGCGGCACTTAATGGTGTCACCCCCTCAGAGGCGTAGCGATTCTTCCCGGGGACAAATTTTCGATTTGCACCCCCCCCCCCTCAAATTTTTCTCAGTATATTTTACTATTTTTTGCCTTGGTGTCATCCCTCTAATTGGTGTCAGCATCCCCCCCCCCTCGCTACGCCTCTGGTAAGATGTTAAGCAAAATAAGTCAAAATGTTATATAAGTCAAAATAGATAAAGTAACTTTTCCCTTTCGAAACTAAAGGTCCACGGAGCAAGTGAAATAGAATTCACTTGTTTCTTTGACCTCGGCATATGAAATGATAGTGTGGTCAGCACTTTGTTCAGACGCCTTTACTTTCCCAAACGTAAGTTGGGCAGAAATAAGAGCTGAGTGGACTCAGAGACGTTCTACTAACGAACCCGGATGTGAATCTACCTCGCCATAGAAAGTTACCTCAACCTAAAGTTACCCCCGAAAAAGACAGTTACCACAACTTCTATAAAGTTACCACCCCTAAGACAGTTAAGGGGGGAGGCTCGGTAAAAAAAAAAAACTTTTTTACTACTCGTTAGAAAACAGTTAATTCTTTACAGCTTTATTAAAATACATCCGCATATGCATTTCCACTAAAAAAAATGGTGAAAAAATCTTGGTAACTATGACAACGGCGGCCATCTTGAAAAATTAACCCCTTCGTAGGTTTTCTACCATTCATAAAATATTATATTTTAAGCCCAATAAACAATGAATTCATAATCTTCTTCCATATTTTGGGGGACTCAGCTAAACATTTTAAGTGCATACCTTCAAAAAAATTTATTATGAATTTTCAAAATTTGAGTCCGTTTAAAACACTTAATTTGGTGGAATTTTGGGGAATTTTGGGGCATTAAAACTAGTTACCCCCTAAGACAGTTACACAAGCCATGTAACTTTACCCATGGCCGTAGACTGCTACCGTTTGACCACACAGAAAACCGAACTGGAATATTTCGCTTTTCCAAGTCATTGATAAAACTAATCCATCTTAATATTTTTCTTTGGAAAAAATGCATTTCTTGTCCATATTTTATTAGTCTTTAATTATTTTTTTTCAATTCTAAGTTGGACAGGAGTTCTCCTGTAAGTCTGTCGGAAGATAATTTTAATCTGACAACTATTAGGTCCAATGTGTTATAAGTTTTCAGTGCAATTTTTATTTTTACTTTAAATTTTTATACGTTATGATTAAAATGAACGAAAATTAAATGAAAAAAACATTTTTAGTCGTGAATTTCTATCAGTTACACTTTATTTTTCCTCATAGAGTTTCTCATTTTTTCACTATTTGCCCTACTATTAAATAAATATAAAATATTTTACTTATATATTTTATCTTAAGAAACAACCTTCTTATATATCGTATCAAGTTGTCGAAAAGAATATGTGCAATGACTGAGTTACTCAGCTAGCGTGGTTTAAGAAAGAAGAAAATTATTACCTTAATTACATCCAATCATACAGCCGTTCATCAAACTTGACATTGTAATTATCGATTCGCTCGAGAGGTTGTTGCTAATTATATCTTAACAGCTGTATGCGTGTGGGTGGCTTAGGTGAACGATGATGTTGGTAAGTAGGTTAGTTAAAACAGCGTATAAGCCGTGTGTTAGTTCAGGTATGTGCACCTTGCGTTATTATTTCGTTTGCGAATAAACTTGAGTGAGAATATACTGAGAAAAACGCACTCACGCGCAAGATTAGATTTGTATTATATAAAGCCTATATGTGTATGTATGTTTGTGTATTTCTGACTAGATTTTTTCAATAATATGTACTGTAATTAAAAAATTTTAAAAATAAATAAAAAAACAATATATATATATATATATATATATATATATATATATATATATATATATATATATATATATATATATATATATATATATATATATATATATATACTTACAAGTGCATATGTATATTCATAACACAATGCATTATGATATAAATGTGTATACACTTGTAAATTGTGTAAACTGCCTAAATTATGTTTTCATTTAAAACTACAATTTTATTACCTAATATTTTAATATAGGCACTCGGAAAAAGAAATCATTTTTCCTTTTAACAATACAATTCACACATTAGCTTTCGGTAATTTTGTTTTAAAAAAATCTACAGCTCCACGTAATTATTCCTTTTTTACAAGTGTGTAACTAGCATTTACCGTTGTGATTGATCGAGTTCTAAAGTGCATGCACTTTTACTGATTCTAAAAATAACTTTTCCCTTTGTTCAAGTCCGACAATGAAAATATTACGGCCGTCATCACTCCACATAACGTTTGTAGTTTATCAATGAAAAAAAAACTAGGCTTCTCATTTATTTCCATTTTCAATAGTAATCTTAGCAATTACTGACACAAAAAATGAAATTAAAAGCGTATAATTAACCTCTTTCTGCTTATAACTTTTGTAAAATTAATTTATTTTTCACGTTATTAACAACATCTGTATTCCAGAAGCTATTTCAGAATGTGAAATGAAAGCCTCAAAATCCTCTAAGGATGAATGGGGTATTATTAGCAACGACATGAATTATTTAATGGGAAATTGGAAACTAAACAATTTCTCTTGACTTTCTTTACTCAGGGCCGTAGCTGTCAGTTACTCGAAAGTGGATCCTATCCCCTTGATGATCTTATATTATGTCGTTTGATATATATATTTGTATTATTTAATACATTGAATTTAAAAGAAAAAATATATGCGTTGGCGTACTGCTCAGCACCTATATTACCCGCAACCTTAATCTCTAACAAAAATAACAATTTCCAACCTTATTTCGGGATTTCATTTATTTTCATATCTGCAATATGGAATGTCTGAATTACAGATTAGTCTATTTTCGCGACCTTTTTGAACCATAGGGTTGTATTTCATATGCTGCATGCCCACGCGTTTAGCTAGACATCAATGACCGTTATATTGGCAATCAGCCACTTTGTTTGTAAAGTATATAGGCCTTCATGATTAATAAGGAGGCTGGATTTGAAGTTTTAAGTCTGAAAAATTGAACTACTGAATGGCTTTAAAACGATAATTTTATAAACCATATGATTATAGCTTTTAATCCGAATTTCGAATAAAGAAATCTGATAATATAAAAATGTAAAAAATTATTACTTTAAAAAATCACTTGTAATGAACCGTAATCGTATAACTACGAGTTTTTATTGTTTAATTTTAATAAAGAAATACAATTAGCATTACTGGTACCACGCACTCGACATAAACTATTCGTGAAATATAAAAATGCACAACCACACACCCGTAGCTTCTAACCACTACCATAATGTAATATCATCAAGACACATGAACACAATCAACGATACAGTGCAAACACAAAGACACGTTCACTGCAATTCACTACATCTCACCAATACATGATGTAATATTAACAACACAGCATGCACATTCCATAACGATAACACATGAAATAAATTACACGTTCACTACAATTCACGACTCCTTACCACTACATGATGTAATATAATTTAAAAAGTCACATGAATACACTGTTAACGATAAACTGTGATCACACTTACAAGTTCTCTAAAACCACACCACCAAACACCCTAAGCTTATTACCACTATCATGATGTAATATCAACCACACAACATGCACACCAATAACAAAAAACCGTGAACACAAAAACCCACCACACACATTCATTGCAACACCCACAATCCCTAAACCACACCACAATCTCTAAAATCACACCACCAAACACCCTAAGCTTATTACTACCACCATGATGTAATATCAACCATACAACATGCACACACCATTAACGACAAACCGTGAACACAATACCACGCTCACAAAAACCCACCACACACATACATTGCAACACGCACAATCTCTCTCACCACCCCCACACTATAAAATTCAACCCCTGATTTAACATAACTCTTCACGTCTACTTCCAGCCAACCTTGGAACCAGCAGCAGTGACGCCCACACACCCCAGAAGCGCTCACCCCCGGACAGCCCCGTCCCACTTGACGACGACGCCCTCCTCTCAGAGAACGACCTCCTGGAAAACCAACTCAACCCCGACGACTTCGACAAACGCTCCACCCTCTTCCGGTTCGGCAAGCGCCAAGGAAGCCTCTTCAGGTTCGGAAAGCGAGGCGGATCCCTGTTCCGATTCGGAAAGCGAGGCACCCTCCTGCGCTTCGGCAAACGTGGAGGTTCCCTCTTCCGGTTTGGGCGCAGCGGTCCCTCTGACTCCGCCTTGGACGAAAACGAGGCCATGGATGACAAGCGCACACTTTTCCGTTTCGGCAAGAGGTCTGACCTTGACCTCTTGAGAGACGCCCTCGCCCAGGCCGAATACAGCAACTACCCGTATCTTAATGACGTCGACAAACGAGCATCGTTTCATTGGGGAGAGGACTCCGATGAATAAAACAACAGATTTGAAATTCTTCTAGTTTGACTGTAGTGTATTGATGATAACTTTACATTCTTGAAATTAAATTTTAATTAAAAAATTAAATTAAAAATCTAATTGTTTATGATTGATTTAAAAAAAAAAGTTTCAACTAACCTTTAGCTTACCGTAAGCTTTGCTCCAAACCTTGAACGCATCCCAGTGTTTTAATTTTTAAAATAGCAATATGTTTTGGAGGGTCGTTCATTCTTCAAAGCTTAAAAGAAAGCAATGTTTATAACTGTGTCGTTTCAGCTAAGCGTTTTGTTATTTTATATATTGTAGCCCCCCTCTCCGACAGGGCTTGGGTATAGAAAAAGAAAAAAATGATAAAAACATATTACATTTGGATTCTTTGAAATAAAAGTGTTAAACATGAGTAGTATTCTACGTGAAAGAGTTATTTTTTTTGTCAAATGTGTAGTGTGGAAAGTTTGTCTTGAGTCGACCTATGTTTGCTGATAGTAATTTTTGTTTCAGCTTTCTATGTCCAGAAACGGAATAAATAAATTGAAATATTTCTGGAAAAAGTATGCTAATATTTTTTGTTTATTGTATAATTTCGCATTAGATATTTGCCCCCGTAGATTTTGTGCCTCTTAGATGATTTGGCCGCTAATAATTGACATTTAGTCGGAAAATTTAACGACGACATTTTGTCTGCAACATTCTGTCTGCAACATTCTGTTTGCCACTTTCTGTCAGCGACATTTTGTTTACGAGATTTAGGCTGCGAGAAGCAGCTAATTACAACCCTAAGTAGAATAAATATAAACAATACTTGATAATTTTAGTTTAGCCCACTAGCGTACCACTACCTTACAACACTAGATTACACTTCTTTACACCATTTCATCACTTACACCACCAACTTATACCACTAGCTTACACCTCTAGCTTATACCACCAGATTTACATCACTGGCTTACACCACCATCTTACATCACTAGCTAACACCACTAGCTTACACCAAGAGTTTACTTACACTACTAGCTTACATCTCTAGCTTAAACATCTAGCTTATTTACACCACTACCTTACAACACTAGCTTACATCGTTTGTTTACACAAATAGCTACTTACAGATCTAGCTTACACCTCTAGCTTACACTTTTAACTTACACCAATAGCATGCATTCGCTTACAGCACTAGCTTACATCACTAGCTTACACCTCTAGCTTAAACTTCTAGCTTACTTACACCAATACCTTACATCTTTAGCTTACACTAATAGCTTTCTTTCAGCACTAGCTTACACATCTAGCTTACACTTTTAACCTACACCAATAGCATACATTAGCTACACTACTAGCTTACACCTCTAGCTTACACCACTACCTCACAACATTAGCTTAATCTTTAGCTTACACAAATAGCCTACTTACACCACTAGCTTACACCTTTATCTTACACCATTAGCATACATTCGCTTACACCACCAGGTCACACCAATAGCTTCCATCACTAGCTCAACCCACTAGCTTACACCACTAGATTACACCAATAAGTTACACAAGTATATACCACCAGCTAAAATCACCAAATTACACAACTACCTTACACCACCTCCATACACCCCTCTCTTACAAAATCTAACCACTGGCTTACATCACTACCTTCCACCATTACCTAACCCAACCAACACCCTGCTCCACCCCCCCCCCCCCCCACCCCCCCCCCCACCCACCACGTTATCCCCAGTTCCAGACGACCACCACGCCTGACAGGCCGAGACCCAGCAGAGCTTAAGTATCAGGGCCGGCAATTCCACTTGATGCGGGCCTGCCATTTGATACCTGGATCTGATTCCGTCTGGTGCTGTGTCCCGCTCTACCACGATTCTGGTCAATTTGATTGGTTAGCCTCGACTCTGGAAAACTCACATCGCAGTCAGTTGAGGCTAAATTGAATCTAATTCCTTTACACTATTTCTTCACAACGCACCCTGGTGAAACGTTTTTAATACATATTTTTTTTTAGTTTTCTAAGGGATATTAAATTTGTTTACACGTAAATTGATATTTACTTCCTCTGTTATTAAAAATTAAACTTGATATTCTCTAGAAAGTATTTAAACAGCAACTTTTACACTTGTTTCGCAAATTGTACAAGAGTTGGTGAAATCCACATTTGACGTTGATCTTCCGAGGGGTAGGAATTATAAGGAAGTATTAGAGTTTTTAGTTCACGCTATATTAAATATACATAACTAGTGGGGTCGTATATTTGAGATGTATTCAGATTTATACAGAGCTAGTTGTGTCGTAAATTTGAGATGTATACAGGGTTATACAGAGTTATACAGAACAAGTAGTGTTGTGAATTGACGATCAAATAGATTAAATCAAGGTTAACTATTAATTAACACTTAATTATCAATTATCTTATAAGCATAGTAATTACTCTCCCCCCCCTCCCATCACACACTTCCCTGTATTCTACAATTGGATAAACTGCTTTTACATTGGGTGCATTGCACTAAAATATTCCTGCACTGCTTGATGCCAAGGTAATTCTCAGATGTTTTGTTTTCCCATAAAAATATAGACCGTTTTATTATACAAATAACAAGACAAAAGAAAAGAATTTCTAAAGTAACTGTAATAAACTTCGCATTGAAGTTTTTGCAACCATTTACTATGAGGCGAATCTCTGTCAATAAATCCTGTTTAAAAATTAAATTATAGAACAGATAGATCAAACTATACTGCAGTGGTAAGCTGCAGAGTGGTATATAAAATGTGAAATTAATATAGTGGTTGACATAATCTCGTATTAATATAGTGGTATATAAAATGTGGTATTAACAAAGTGATTTACAAAATGTGGTATTACTATAATGGTTTCTAAAATGTGGTATAAGCAGAATGGTGTTTAAAAAATTTAAAACATTAAGAAATTATAAAAATTGTAAAAATTCAAAACGAAAGAGAGAAGTACAGCACAATATCAACACGTTTTCAGAGGCGAAGCGACGGGGGGGGGGGGGGGGGGGGGGGGGGGCGGGGCGGGGGGGGGGACACATTTCCCCGGGCGCCGACCGTGGGGGGAGGGGGGGACGCCAAAATGGGTTGGAAAAATAAATTGAAAGGTTGAGAGGAGATGCAAATCAAAAGTTTGTCCCCGGGCGCCGGGAAGGGTCGCTACGCCTCTGCACGTTGTCCATTGATTTATTATGTTACTGGAGTTGGAAACTGTTATTATGTTACTAGCTCCAGATTGCAAACAACATCAACAGAATAACATCAAAGTATGCAGGGCTTCAAGGAAAATAACACGACGTGATCCACGTCTACAGATAAGTAACACGACGTGATCCACGTCTCCAGATAACACGACGTGATCCACGTCTTCAGATAACACGACGTGATCCACGTCTTCAGATAAGTAACACGACGTGACCCACGTCTTCAGATAACACGACGTGATCCATGTCTATAGATAACGCGACGTGATCCACGTCTTCAGATAACACGACGTGATCCACGTCTTCAGATAACACGACGTGATCCACGTCGTCAGATAACACGACGTGATCCACGTCACCAGATAACACGACGTGATCCACGTCTTCAGATAACACGACGTGATCCACGTCTTCAGATAACACGACGTGATCCACGTCTTCAGATTACAGGACGTGATCCACGTCTTCAGATTACACGACGTGATCCACGTCTCTAGATAAGTAACACGACGTGATCCACGTCTTCAGATAACACGACGTGATCCACGTCTTCAGATTACAGAACGTGATCCACGTCTTCAGATTACACGACGTGATCCACGTCTCTAGATAAGTAACACGACTTGATCCACGTCTTCAGATAACACGACGTGATCCACGTCTCTAGATAAGTAACACGACGTGATCCACGTCTTCAGATAAGTAACACGACGTGATCCACGTCTTCAGATAACACGACGTGATCCACGTCTTCAGATAACACGGCGTGATCCACGTCTCTAGATAAGTAACACGACGTGATCCACGTCTTCAGATAACACGGCGTGATCCACGTCTTCAAATAACACGACGTGATCCACGTCTTCAGATAACACGACGTGATCCACGTCTCTAGATAAGAAACACGACGTGATCCACGTCTTCAGATTACACGACGTGATCCACGTCTCTAGATAAGTAACACGACGTGATCCACGTCTTCAGATAACACGACGTGATCCACGTCTTCAGATTACACGACGTGATCCACGTCTTCAGGTAACACGACGTGATCCACGTCTCTAGATAAGTAACACGACGTGATCCACGTCTTCAGATAACACGACGTGATCCACGTCTCTAGATAAGTAACACGACGTGATCCACGTCTTCAGATAACACGAAGTGATCCACGTCTTCAGATAACACGACGTGATCCACGTCTTCAGATAACACGACGTGATCCACGTCTTCAGATAACACGACGTGATCCACGTCTTCAGATAACACGACGTGATCCACGTCTTCAGATAACACGACGTGATCCACGTCTTCAGATAACACGACGTGATCCACGTCTTCAGATAACATGACGTGATCCACGTCTTCAGATAACACGACGTGATCCACGTCTTCAGATAAGTAACACGACGTGATCCACGTCTTCAGATGACACGACGTGATCCACGTCTTCAGATAACACGGCGTGATCCACGTCTTCAGATAAGTAACACGACGTGATCCACGTCTTCAGATAACACGACGTGATCCACGTCTTCAGATAACACGGCGTGATCCACGTCTTCAGATAACACGACGTGATCCACGTCTTCAGATAACACGACGTGATCCACGACTTCAGATAACACGACGTGATCCACGTCTTCAGATAACACGACGTGATCCACGTCTTCAGATAAGTAACATGACGTGATCCACGTTTTCAGATAACACGACGTGATCCACGTCTTCAGATAACACGACGTGATCCACGTCTTCAGATAACACGACGTGATCCACGTCACCAGATAACACGACGTGATCCACGTCACCAGATAACACGACGTGATCCACGTCTCCAGATAAGTAACACGACGTGATCCACGTCCCCAGATAAGTAACACGACGTGATCCACGTCCCCAGATAAGTAACACGACGTGATCCACGTCCCCAGATAAGTAACATGACGTGATCCCTTGCATATGTCTGTGTTCATATAGTGGAAACATATCCGGCAAACAGGTTCGCCATGTACACAACCCTTAAAGATATAACGACTTTTTCCTGTAATGTTTATTGGTTTGTTAGTTTGTAATGTAAAATAAACCGGGAGTGATCTCCCCTAAACTTTCTCGAATATTCTTATATAAAATAACAGGGGATGGGAACTCGGGCTATAGACATGATTTTTAATCCATTTTAAATACTTAAAGTTTTAAAAA